AGGGTAATTGAATCGAATATACCAATTGGTGATGTCATGCCGCTGTGTAACAAGCCAGGCAGGAGACAACAAAGTGGTCAACAGGGCCAGACCTTCTCACAAGGCGACAACTCAACAAGATCAGACGAAGCAGGCAAGACAACACTGAATGTATGAAGTATGAAGGCTCAGGCATCAAGACAAGGAGCTTTCAGAGCTTGCTAACGTCCATGATGCAAAGTCACCCAAACCCGTCCCAACCATCTTATCAGGAGGTAGTTGCATCCGTAGGGTATGGAAATCACAGCCTTTGAAGATGAACATGGGTTCCCCCAAACCCACTAGCAACATCGCACGCCATTTTCCCAACCTTGGTATTTTTGGCTTAGAAGAAACGAATAGCTTATAGTCTGACAAACAAACACTGATAAAGACAAGAAAAACCTGGAAGAAGACCAAGCAGTCGACTTGGTTCATGAAAGAAAGATCAGAACCCCGCCCGCACCGCACACCGAGACTCACTTCGACCCGCTTCGACCCGCTTCGCGAGGCCGCGCTGTTGGCCTTGGGCTGTTTGGCCGATCATGGCATGGTGAGCCCCTCCGATCCATCGGCCCGGTGGAGCCGAAGTGGGGATGAACGGCTGGCCTCATTGTCCTGGTGAGGGAACCCTATAGGTGTTCAAGTATGGGTCCTGCATGGTCCACCGAAACCCACAAGAAGTTGCAGCCACAGGCTGGAAGGCAAGGGGAGGATCACAGAATCACAATAGATCGGGATCTTGTCAAGGTTGGGGATGGTTGTGGTATCATGATTAGTGATCAAACCAACGGGAAGTGAAGCATTTCTGTGGCCCTTAGACCTGTTCCACTTTCATCCTTCGTCCACAGGCCGTGTGTGTGTGTGTGTGTCACCCCCTGTACCAAAGGGTTCAATGCCACGGTTTTCCATTGCAACCACTCAATGAGGCAGGGGGGCCAGGCCTGTCACATCCAACCTGGCCCAACGAAGCTGGGATGTGACAGGGGAAGCACCAAAGGACGCTTTGGTGTGTACCTGCCATACAACTTTTGCACAAGCTGTCCACCCTACTTTTCCACGATTTGATTCATGGTTCTTCATGTATTCCACCCCACAAACAGGTTTCTTTCAGCAGCCGACCGCAGACTTGCACAGCTTTGCAGCCGCGTCTTTCGAGTGCGATTGGAAACCATGTTCAACCATACTGTTTCAGCTGACTTTTCCACCCTGCGGCTCTTCGCCTTTCTTCCCATCGGGAAATTGAGTGTAACTGAAAACCAATGTCAGAGTGTGTGTGACATTGTGTGACTATGTGCCCAAGCGGCGGGAGTTCATTGGGATTCAAGAAACACAGAGAAACCTCTAAATGCGTTGATTTCCATCAGTGTGGGGCTTTCAACCTGACACGCTTTTCCCCGGAGCATGGATTCTGTGTACCAGCCAGTGCTGCCGCATGCAGTTGCTGGATGAAACCCCACCGAATGCAAAAGGAGCGCGCGGAAGGACAAACCATGACGAACCTAAGAGGAAACAGAGCAGGGTTTCTTTTTAGCAAGTCAGCCAGCACACTGGCATGTGGCTGTGGGTCAAAATCAGGAGCCACATGGTGTTGGAAATCCAGGTTTTGACCCCGGTCACCACTCATCCTCCAGCCAACCGGTGGACCCAAAAGCATGAAATAGCCAAGGTAGCCAAGCCTGAAAACATCAATTGACATCCACCGGAACCATGATGGCACACCATAGAACACCTCTTATAACTGGCAACAAGATGTGAATCCTTGTTCACCAACATGAAGGTTCTTTAAAAGGGAGAGCCCCACGTACTGCGCAGCGCGTGGGATGGCAACGTGGCGCCGCTGAGGTTTTGGTTCCAAGCAGCAGGTTCAAGATCTACAGCAGAAAAAGCACAAGGGGCAGCTGGGCCCAATTAACCGAACTGGCCAAGTGAAGTGAAGAAGCGCGCATGGCAGTCGTGCCCCTGGCTGCTGACAGTGGTTCCTTTATATGTACTTCTTGGGTTGCCCCTCCACCCCAAAACTGTCCCACAATATATAGCCATTGAAAAGCAGGGGCTGCACCTAGGCCAGGCGTTGATGCAAACATGCTGCAGGGACCGCTTTTGGTTTTTGGCAGCTCTCCCAACACAAGTGTGTTTGTGCTTTAAACACTTTAAACTTTGATGTGCTTTTGGGTTTGTTATTTCCCCTCTTCGGTCGCCCTTTTCTTTGTCAGTGGAGTGTCGAAAAGAACTCCCTTCCTTCAGTTATCATCAGCTGAACTCTTGCCGTACAGGGGTGCACCTCAGTTCACTCGTGGGTTCCCAAAGAAAGGAAGGCAGATTGATTGACCTTGGATGCGATGATGCCTCCTCTACCGACGGCATAAAGGGGGGCCAACCTCAGTTCCCTTTCCCGACATGTTGGACGGGAACATCCAAGGCCACCCTGAGCTTAGGCCCTCTAAGGTAAGGAGTATGATGTTATCATTACTTTTCCTCTAAACCTGTTGGCCATTTTGTAGGGCCTTTTGCCTTTTGCCACCCTCCAGCCCCCCGCTCCGGTGTGACAAGTCACGTGACAAGCGCATTTTGAGCCTTTCTCGTGGCCCCATGAAAAGAACCGGTCTGGAAAAGCCGGTCTGGTGTTTTGCTCAGACGAGACACTCCGATCAACAAATTCCGCGTTGGCTTGTTGATGAGTTTTCATGACAAAGAAGTGGCCGGGGCCCATCATGCATGCTTGGCGCCAGAGGTTTGACCATCTTTCAACTACCGGGCCCATCAACATCAGTCAGCTACGCCGCAGTGGCCAAGCCCTCGTTGTAGGCCAAGCTGCACCCCAAACACCTGGGTCTCTCGCGCGCGGGGTGGGCGTTTGGGGCACCAGGAAAGCCATCGCACAGATTCGGATCGTCCCAGAGGAGGGCTTCTGAGCGGGGTGCGGTGTGCGGCCGTGCGGCCGGGTGCGGCGCCACAGACGGGTGCGGCGCACGGACGGGGGAAGGTTCGCTGGCGGTTTGGCAGAAAGAAGCCCAAATGGGAGGAATCCCTCCATGAAGATGAGCAATCACACCGAATCACACCGAATCAGCTGACAAAGCATCAGGGTATCTAAGTGGAAACACAACCCATGTCATCTTCCGCGCCAAAAAGAACGCGTAGAAAAGAAAGCTTTGCTCCGGCGAGACAAAAAGAGACGGCTCTATGCGCTGTGGAGTGTCGGCCTGCTCCTTTTAAAAACAGCCTATAGTGGTCCCTTCACTGTTTACGATGTGGCGGTGCTGTTGCTCAAACAGTCTTGATGACCGTGGTTTGGCTTTGAAGAATGGAGCACATTGACCTGTGGTTTCAACATCCGTGGTTGACATTCGAGAAAGCCAAACCCACCGTAGCACACATTTGACTTCCCTACTAATTACCCTACTCTTTGGATACCCTAATTTTAGAGCAATCCATAGATATTTGACATTGTGTCGTTCTCTATTTAGTCAACTATTCTTTGGCACTGGGAAGCTCAACCTCTACCGCTTAGTCTTCGGCGAGTCTTCTCAGAGTAGACGTTTCTCCTTCCGTCCAGGTCTTGACACGTGTTAGTTGTTCTTGTTTCTTCAATTTTATACCAGGTAATGTAGACTCTTGATTGATTATATATATATATACATGCATTTACCAATTGTGTCTTTTGGATTTAAAAGAAGGACTACATATTAAGTCCCTACATATTCAAGGAAGGATGTCAAAGAGTCGTCGTTCGGAAATGGCCCCGGCACAGTCCTGCGGCCATGGGGAGGCTGGCTCCAGGCATCCCGCGTCGGTGGGGATAACGGGGGGCGTTGGCATCGTTCGGGACGGGGGCGGATTTAATAGCAGACTATATAATATATAGATCGAATTCGACATGACTGGCAACACCCAAGTCATGATGTTCGGTGAATTTCATGAGACTTCAATTGGTTGAGACTTCAGTTGTGTCAGACGAGCCAGGCGGTGGATTTGAAGGATGACTCATGGATTTCGTGTTCATTTTGTTGGACATTTGGAGTGTTTTGATCCATGCCCTGTCAGCAGGACATTTTGCATCTGCAAACGTAGAGCCAGAATCCGAAGTGGTACTACAACTCCTTGGCACCAGATTACTTATGGACCCCTATATATTATCCAGTAGCGATTGGGTGTCTTACGGCTTCTTCAATGTCCTCCACAGTGGTGGACCATCAGAAAACGCCAGGACGGAATTTCATAGTTCTTCTTTCAGATCATGGCTTCAGGGGTAGCATTTTGTATGTGACTCAGATCCTATGTTCTTGGGGGGGATCATGATGGTGAAGCTTTGGCTGGAGCTGCAGGCGAGGTTTCTGATATTTGTTAAGGCACTCCGATGCTTTCCAGTTGAGACAGACTGATGTTGAGCGAGGAGACTTCTGTGAAGAGTTTCAATTGGAGCCTCGCGTCATGGGCCCCGGCCGCCGCCGTTGTCCATACTCCTGACCCGCTTCAAGAGTTTAGTCAGAGATGTCCAGCCTCGGTTCCACAATGTTCTACATTGCTTTTGAGAGATGAAGGTGTCCCACTATAGGGGTGGGTAGTGATGAAAGCGCGAAAGCGCTTGCAGTCGTTGTATGCTTCTTATGTCTCATGCTGGTGGCATCCCTAATATTGGAATTGCGACTCCAAACTCAAGCTTCCAAATCATAACATGAGTAGAAGTCCTACCCACATCCACCAGACTTTGATACAAAATTAGAATTTTCAGCTATGGCAAGCAATATAGGTTTACAATTACTCATATAGCTATAGCATATATAGTTTCCATTTGCTTCCGCCCTCCCTCACCCCGTCACCTGAAAAAAAGCCACAATCGAACCACTCCACTGAGCACCACTCACCTCAGCCCACGCATCCGTCCACGCACCCGTTGGCCTTTCCGCGCCGCGCCGCGACGGCGCGGCGCGCCGCTGCATGACGCCATGCCCTTCAACAGCGAGACCGGTGCGGGCGCCATGCCGCGCGCGGCGCCGCAAGGCGCCCCGGTCCGGGAAAGCCAGCGGGTTCGTCTCGGGTTGCGGCAAGAGACTCCAGATTTGCACTTGGTCCCGTGTGTGTTTTCTGTGGTTTTAAGTGTTTTTGGTGGGATTCTAGAAGCTGATTTGGGGAATTCATCCTGTTCATTGCATGCTTTTTATGTGGTGTACCCGTTTCGGACCAGCATCAGGATAGCTCAGCATGCGTCTGAGGTTTGCTGGGATTTGATTTGGTTTGATTGAGGGAGATTGAAGTCAAGCCTTCAAGATGGACAAATCAAACCTGGGAGGCCAGAAAGAGCAACCAAGTCTTCCAACTTCTGATCGTAGATCGTTGAAATCCCGTTTGATTGATGGCAAACTGTTTGGGTTTGCCGGGGGTGAGTAGGTTCCTAGTCCTTCCATGGCTTCGTTTTAGATTTGAGCGTACCCGCTTCTTCATGCATCGGAAAAGAGGTAGTTATGGAGTTTGGAGTTCAGAGCTTGGTTCACTGAGCAAAACTGGGCAGGTAAGGAGAAGAAACCAATTGTTGACCTATATATGCTCATGCTTCAACAATTTTTCCCAAATTCCCAGATTGAAGCTGCTTCAGCTTGCACTACGCCAGACTTGGATCCTCTCTACGTGGAGGAGCAACAACTTGCAGAGGCACCGCGGAGCGGCAGATCTGCAAGTCGCTGTATCGGCAGCTGATTGGCACTTGAGGGACAACGTGGAGATGCATGTTATTTTTATCGACTGAAGTTGTCAACTTTTTGAAGGGTTCCAATATCCACACCATATATTTGTATGTAATATAGTCGACACATGCTCATACTCTACATAAATTAGCCACTATTTGCCATGTCAGGCAATGCAAGGCGCATTCGTCCAGCCATTCTTGCCTGTCGAGATGAACTTCTCAAAAATGTCACGGCTCTTGACCTGATCACCATCCATCCACGATCATCCATGTTCCTTATCCAGTTTTGGGTCCATCCAACTCACCATCCAACTCCCCATCCAACTCCCCATCTCCTCCCCATCCTCTCCATCTCGTCTCCATTTCGCCTCCCCACCTCCTCTCTCGGATCGGACGACCTGCCAGGAGCTCCGGGACCCTCGTTCCGCCGGGCGGATCCCCGTGGCACTGCTTCCCGAGGGTGGGGCCACCAGAGGGGGATCGGAGGTCGGCGTGGAGGTCGGCGGAACGTGCCAGCCTCAAGCGGCGAACCCCATCGAATTCATCAAAGGGATCCACTGGCACCCTTTGATGGGCACCTACATCAAAAGAGTCACTCACATCACCTTGTCAGAGGGTGCCAGTGGATCCCAAAAGAGGAACCCAACCAGCCACGGCCCTGAAGGTTCCGATCCCCAAGCTGGTGATGTTTGGTCAAAAGACCGCCGGCCACCCGGAGCAGCCACCGCGGTGCTGGCGCAACCACTTGACAAAGCTTCTCAAGTGCATCACCACTTGGGGAAAAGCATGGGAAACGAAGGTTGCATAGTCTCAGGGTATTGATTCTTAGTGTCAGTGCTGTAGGACTGAACCACTGGCTAGTTCATAGTATGGATGGTCGCAATGATGGTCAGCTTCCCCCAGAATGGCCACATGTTCTTCGCCAGATTCGAAGATGAATTCAAAAATGTCTATATAGTCAAACAGATGGAGGGTCAGGCTCAGCATCAGATTGTGGAGAATTCCCAGCAATGCCCTCCTTGCCCTGTCTTAGGTTTTGGGGGTGGTTTGAATTTTGTGCAAGCACCAAAGAAGGATGGAGAGCATGTTTTTTGTTTTAAACCTGGTGACCACTTTACAAGGAGTTTGGGAGTTGCTGTGCTTAGATTGGACGCTTGTCTTTTGTGGTCGCAGGGGTCGTCACCACAGCCAGGGCACGAAGCAATCTCACTGTTCATGAACATCACCACCTCAGAATGGTTCTACACCTCCACAGGGGCTATATGAATCAACCGTCAACATTTGGTCTTTGAGTCCTCCACCAGACTCAGCACCTTCCCACAGGACCCGAGCGACCTCGCCCAATGGGTCGGGGGGTCTCAGCTTGGGGCGATGGGGTCGGAGATTGAGGTGTCTTGTGGATTGAGGTTATAGCTTTAGATGGCACAGTCACCGGTGGATATGGACCCCATCAAATACATGATATAAATGACATGTAGGGATTTGTGCCTTTACTCAAGAAGTGTCGAATTTGACGTGAGAGTTGTGCTGCACGGCTACTGTATAGTGGTACCTGAATCCCGACCGCCTAGGAACATGTCCTGCATGCCCAGTGTCGAGTTTGATTGAAGCGAAGCACCAGGCTTGTTTGATGTTTTCAATTCTTTTCCAATTTGCGTGCAGATTCCAATTCCAATCGATCACGCCGGAACAATTAAGAGCTGCAGAGAACCGAACCCTGACGCTCCACTGAGTTGCTGATCGTTGAAGATGGCCCTTGGCCAACGAACAAATAAACACCTTCCTGGCACTCTCGTTCATCCCGCCGGCGAGCGCCACTGCAGCAGAGGATGGCACCATTCTTCATGTGTTGAGGCACATATGGGCGCTTGCACTCACAGTGGGGTGGCCTGCAGCCGCCCTTTTCCAGCGAAGGCGCATGGCCTTTGCGCCCGGCTGTCGCAGAACATGCGGCGCACTGTGGCAGAAACCACTGTGGAAAATCCATGCTGGCGCAGCTTGGCAGCCCACAGCCCTGGGAAACTGCTTATAACCAAATGTGTTGTGCTGAGCTGGTAGCACTACAATTCCTGTGGGGCTGTTTGAGCAGAGCAATCATTAAAATCATTAAACACATTAGTCCTGTGCAGCTCAATGCTTTCAAGATAAAGATGATAAAGCACGCAGGCTGCAATGAGGCTGCAATGCACCCTGCCCTTGCAGCACACCACCCAGGAGGAAATGTGTGAAGACTTGCTTTCGAGGCTGAATTGATAGCCCAAAAATATGTTTCAGTTGGCTGCGTAGCAGCTTCCAGCAACATGAACGAGCTGCAGGACATACCGTACCCCAATATACGCTGACCTGCAGAGCACTCAGGGCAGAGCACTCAACCAAGTGCCAGGAAGAATTCTCCACTTTTGGAGGTGAGGGTCTATACCTGGACCCTCCAAAGTACCTTAGAAATGGGACATTACCCCATAAAAAATATAAAAACAAGTACTTGTACCAATTTTCCGAGGTACTTTGAGGCTCCAGGTGCATACCCCCCCTCCAAACCTGATCGCATGGACCTTGAAAACCACTGCTGATCTCAGACCGTCTGCCTTCGTCCAAACCCGGTCGGATGGGACGAGTCCATGGTGCCATTCGACCAAGCCCAAGTCGCCCCCGTCCGACGCGGCGCTGTCCGCGGAAACTGCGGTTGTGAAGCGACGACTCGGTTGGGCCGTACACAGCCAGGAAAGCCAGGGTTTGGATTGAAACCGCCCTTGGGATCCTGAGACATGCTTCTTCACGGTTAGGCTAAGACAGAGTCGGGTAAACTTCAAACACTACTTGTTTGCAACGTCGAAGCAGACCAGACCAGACCTGCTCACGTAATCCGAGTCTGAAATCCCGATCCGGGGGACAGATAAAAGGGCTGCAGAGATCCAGGGGTTTTGCCTCGGTCTTCGGATGAAAAACGCACCGACGGAAGAGAACAGGAGAGGTTTTTCTTCGGGGATCCTGCGAGTATGATGGGGGATCTGATGGGGGATGGACTTGTGAAACGTTCTGGGGGGGAATGAATTCCGACTCTTTGAGTTGTGAAATGGAAGGTGTTTGAATTGTGAGTATGCTGCATGCTATTTCTTCCAGATGATTTCACTGCCATGTTTGCTTCAGCTTCTTGCTTTTGAACAATCGTGCATCATCGTGCATATGCTGTAGCAGTCACCACCTGGACCACCACCAACCCAAGTCTTTGCTACATGTGTTCTTTGATTTGACACTCAGACATTTTCGCGCAAAAAAAGTGAATTCAGCAACAAGTGTTCCGTGTTTCTTGTTTTTTTACTATTGCTTGTCAATTTTGGACCTGCTACTTGAGTTTATGACGTTGTGAAGTCGTGTTGAAGTATAGCCCCAAGACAACGTTTCAAGGCGGCAGTCCACAAGGCAGTGGAATTGATTGGTATATGACTTGCATAGTGGTGTGGCATTGTTTTGGGTCTTTCTGTTTCAGCTTCCGTGAACAAACACCACCGAGATTCCTCTAGATGTTTTTTTCATGTTTCATCATGTTTCCTTTAGATTGTTGTCTTCAGCACTGGATTAATTGGACAGGACACTGCAGGACGTTCCTTTAGATTTCTCTCTTGCTTTTTGTTCATTTCGTACCTTGGGTGTTGGTGTTTTGCCAAAAAACACCTACCCTGCTCGCTGAGCTGAGATCAAGGTCCAATGTTACAAGTCCAAGTGGACATTTCAGCTCGCCTTTCATCAACCAGCAAAACACACCAAATCATAAAGTATCATCAGTTCGCACTGCGAGTGGGGCACAGGTGAAGCAGCCCACGTCTCTCCTTCCCGGGCCACGTCTCTCCATCGAGGCCTTCGTGCCACGCGCGTGCACCCTTCGCTGTGCGGCTCCTTGCCGCCGGCAGGTGGGGGGGGGTGCGGGGTGCCATGTCCGGTTCACCCGGTTTTGCTTAGGATGCTTTTTGAGTCTCTCAACGGGTGAATCATTTTCTTGGAAATTTCAAAGAATATGTTTTCGGGTTCCTGAGGAACATCCAAGATGAGGGTCGATGCATACCGTACTTGGAATGAAGGCCATCAGGGATCTTCGGGGCCCTATTCTGGGCGCAACACGAATCGGTCCGAAGACGAAGAAAAGGATCGAAAGACCACAGAACAAGGACTGTCTTCCCCTTTAGTTCTATCCGACATAGCCCATGGAAATGAGACTTGGACTGAGCAAACCTTGTGAAAGGACACGCCCCAGAAGGATCGGACAAAAATAAACATAAGTTGTATCTAGTCTGTGGCACACTGACACCGTTATGGCGAAAATACCTTAAGTCATCTGCTGCGGCATGGCATGGACTGGTGGAGTCACACCCTCAGTGACTGGAAAGAACGCAGTCATCACCAGAAAGAACAGGGCGTTCCGAGCGAAGGTCAGATCCGCATCAGGACAGATCCGCATGGTCAATCATCTCTGGGGATGGATGCAAGTTGAAACATTACCTTATGGAATCTCAACACCATGGCAATGCTCTTGGACGCGCAATCTATGAAAGAGTGGGGAAAGATGTTGGCAACTACGAGGACGCCGAGGTCATTGACATTGATGTTTGTTATTCCCTACCAATTTGGACAGGGAAGCGAGAATCAGTATGTTGAGTTCGCACTTCAAGGTACAAAGGCAGTGGGATTCGGCGAACTGACAGCTTCAAAAGTCTTCCAAACTTCGGCGTTGACTTCCTGAAGCATTGTTTCTGCAAACATCTCACAAGGGCGATAAGGATCCAAGATGATCTAAGTGGTTCACCCACACAAGTGTGGGATATTACACTTCCTGGAACTCACATGTTTACGTGGATGGCATGGCCACTTGGAACCCTCATTTTCCCGTAGCAAACATCGCTTTGTCCACTTCCGTGCTAGTTCTACGTTATTTTTAGTTGTCCTTAAGAGGGCGGTCATGGCACCGGCGATTCTGAAATGTTTATGAAGAGAGTAAGGAAAAGGAATGGAATCATGATGAATCATATAGACGCATCATGATGAATGGGCAGGTGCCAGATTTACAGACTGTTGGCGAGCTTGGCATGGATTTAGGAGTGAGGAGAGAGAGAGAGAGAGAGCTTCAGAGGAAGGGATACCACCTGGCAAGGCAGCCAACCCCCCCAACTTGATGCCGGTGTGCTGTTTTGAGACAATGGGATGCCCAGGTAGATGACATGACTAAGGTGTTATTTTTGATCATTGGGTGCTCCATGCAAACCGCGAGGGGTTGGGGTTTGAGGGCCCTGCCAAATGGTGTTGAAGTTGGTTTCCTTCAAGTGGAAGTGGCTTCAGCTTCATAGCCCACACCCTCCCCATCATGGATCCAAGGTGCAAGGCTTGCAAGGAAGGGGGGGTTGTGCAGTTCGTCTTGTTGGCGCACCGTGCCCTCCGGGGCCCCTGCCCGGCTCAGAAAGCTCTCGTTGGATGAGCAGCCGACACTGGCAAGCGCCATCTGCTCGTGGGGAGCACCCAGTGGGGACAGTGTGTACATGAGTAGAACAGCATGGTAGGTGAACTGAACATCCCTGTATGGTGGGAGCTTTGTGATCTGGCCCACGGCCATGTAGACCCAGAAATCACCAAGCACATGTTCCATGCTTGCAGTTTGACTCATAAATGAGTTCCGGTAGCACACCAGAACCGGGATCGAGTAGGGATTCAGCAGGGCAATCCCTGTACTCTTTTTCTTCAGCAGGGTTCGCAAGTTGTATGAGTCGCACGTCGGATGTGCAAGTACACACTACGAGGACTTGGGCATTTTTGCAGCTCCCGCGTTCCCAGGAGAGGAGCTGCAAAGGCTTGAACGGTCGCCTGCCGTAGGCGACCAGGGTGCTGGCCTTGAGGGGTCCTTTCTTGTTTTTGTTGTCGCTTTGTTGGAAGCATGGGGTGTGTTGAGAAAAGCTGCTGACAAGTTGCCAGGTTCACGAACTCAGTGACAAAAAGAACCTGATACCAACTGGTGACTTAAGGTGTTGCAGCAGCCAACTCTGACTTGACATGGCCCATCTACGAGCGCAGCTTTAAGGACGGTAGGCAGTGCAACCATGATCAAACTCCATTTTATGTGCACGGCGTTTCGGATTTGTTTAACAGTTTTTTCTTGGCTTATTTAGGGATATTTATGGTTAGCTTGGGGGCTGTTTATTGTTATGTTGTTTATGCTTGCTTGGTGTGCATTCAGCTGTTGAGGGTTCAATCATTAGTTCGTCCACTAACGACAATAGTGTCACCTGAGAGGATGTTTTGGTTCCATGTTCCGTCATCAACTCCCTGGTAGATGTGAAGTTGCCTAATTTATAGTTTCAATGCCCACTGAACTGTCAGGTTTAGGTTTAGGTATGCTTTGAAGATGCTTTGAAATAGTTTGGTCCATCAATCTGTTTGATGATGCGGCTTTTGATGATGAACGCATCATCAAGGACTCACCATCTGACTCACCATCTCACTCACGGCTTAGAAGCTCACTTTCGGATGAGCTGAACTTGCTCGCAGACGCGACGGTGCCGTCAGGTGACTTCCCGGCGTCGCCTCGCTGCGGATTCGTCGTGCCGACGGCATCAGGTGCGGGGGATTCCGGGCTCCGGAGGGCTCAGGGCTCAGGGCACCTGCCCAATGAAAGTGGGTAGATTCGGGTAGATAACTCTTCCAAGCATTTTGGGACAGTGGTTTCTCAACTAAACCATATGCAGACTGTACAGGTGTCAAAGGTCAACCTGTGTTTTTCCAGGGCAACTGAGGGAGTCAGCCGTTTGTTCTTCCGTGTTTGGCGGCCAGGCTTCGACTTCGTGGCACGTGGGTGGGTCGATTGGATTCTTTCAGAGGGAGAGATGTTTCAAGGATGCATACCTGGAGCTGGAGCCGTACTGGAGCCATTCCAGGTACTTGGAGGTATCCCTAGAGCCTTTGATGCATACCTGGAGCCTCAGTTCGTACCTCGGAAAATGTGTACAGTCGTACCTGTTTTTTTATGGGGTCATGGTCATGTCCCATTTTCTAAGGTACCTGAAGTCGGGTCCAGTCACCTGACACTTCACCTGACATATATCCCTGGCGGCATATCTGGCATACCTGACGTTGGGAGAGATGTTTACAGGGAGAACGACCTTGGCATATACCAATCCAAACATGTCATCGGGTGTACCGTAGGCGTCGTTTAAATCTGGTGGTGTCAGATTGCAGAAAGCATAGTTTCACAGCCCAGCCGTCATTCACATGTTGCCAGATCAAGGGCTCCTGGATGTAGGAGATAGCTGTCAAGTCAGAATTCTGTGGGCATCCTGTGTTCGTGTTCCTGACATAGATTAGCACAAAAGCACCAGCAAGTGTGAAATGTGAAACAGCCCTTGCTGCTGAACCTTGCAAACCCAATCAACCATTCTTCGACCCGACATATCAACATGTCGCACCCCCCAAATCCTCCACCCAGCAATTATTTGGATGGAACACATGGAACGAGTTGAATTGACGAGGCGATCCGAAAAGACCCTACCCTAGCTGCAATTTGTCAAGGGTTTTGGAATGATATTCATGTCTTCGTCCGGGATTCTTGGGGTTTGCATCTTCATCGAAACCGTGTTGTTGGTATCGTTGGCATGCGCTCGGTCGTCGTCTCTCGCCAGACTTCAGCAGTGCTGGGGAAACCTCTGGTTTGACCGTGGAGCAGGCGGATGGAAGGGTTCGGAGAGGTCCGGACGCTGAGGATGCAGAGCGTGCTGGCTAGGCAGGCTAGTTTCGTTGTCCTCTAGCAGAGGTGTTCCAGGACCTTTTGGGAGGGAGTCAGGTGGTGATGTCCCACGTGAGGAGCAGCAGCTGGAGTTCGAGATCCGCTTGTTGGAGCAACAGCTTGGGACTCAGGCACCAAGATGGAGACTCAAGGCAAGGATCTCGCAAATGAATGATGTTGGGCACATCAAGTTACATAATAATAGTAATAATATAAGCATAGCAGCATAGTACTTAAGTAGTATCAAACAGGCATCAAACAGGCATACTGCGAATGGGTAGTGAGGGCGTGCCATGGTGATGGTGCCAAGGCTACCATCTAACAACAGCGGGGCCATTTGTGTGTTTTAAGGTTTTTGGCTTGATGCATGAGAATCATGACCCATTGTGACAATGGGCTTTGTCAGTCGAATACGGCTGTCTTCATTAGACAACAACCAAGGCTCTCAAAGGTGACTCCCAAACTGAACGGTTTGCTAGATGGTTTATTGGGATGCCTAAGGCAAAAAATCATTTATGTTTGCACGGATGCCAAGCAGGGCTTGCTGAGGAGCTAGCTAGAAGTATCGTTGAGCACGGTTTAGTTTCTCTGAGGATGGCTCGCCCAGATAGCCCGCCACAGCAGCCGGAGGAGGCAGCCAAAAGGGGGGGAGTCATCAAACACCTGGGTCAGCATTTGGTGAATGCAACCAACAGTAAACATGCCAATCTAGAGTGGCACGTTCACTTTACTTCCAGGATTTCAATGATTGGGCGGTTCTTTTCTTCATGGAGTTTATGATGAACCACTTGGACCATGGGCTGGCATTCGACAATTTGTTGACTCAGAGTACATGCGGGGGTGCATTTCTTTGCGGGGACGGCAGAAAAAACCGAAACGCTGTGAAAAGAACCACCCACTAGGCACGGGAGCGCACAGAAACTCATGTTCCGAAACCTATTTGCTATTGGTTTTGAGGGCTGCAAATGCCAAAACATGCTCATAATTCACATTTACTGCGAGTTTGTTTGGTCAATGCTGCCATGCTAAAATTCAGCGTGAGATCAGAAGAAAGGCTGCACCATGAGACATCAGGATGGTGGTCTCCTATGAGCCGTTTTGTTGACTCACCATTCTGGATCATTGCAAGGGATTGCTGTGATATATAATGTTCCCGCTATTTCCCGGTTTATGGACACCAATACACATCCATTTGGCCTATCCAAACCTCCTCACGCCTGGCATAAGACCCTCCTGCGTTGGCAGGTTTCCACCTGCACCCGTGCACCGATCCTCCCAGGTGCTTCCGATCCTCCAGCGAGAGGCCTATGTGCCGGGGCAAGTGCAACGGCGGAAGGCTCCTTGGGAGCAGAACGAGCTGGAGGATGATGGAGGTGTTTTGGTTTCTTTTTTGAGTCGATCCAGTTGCGTCAGACTGGATGTTGGTATACGCAACATTGGGGAGCGATGATTGCGGGGAAAGGACATAATTAATTAGCAATTGATGTGAAGTAACTATGCGACTGCAGGCCACAGTGTTATGAAAGTGCGCCTCGGAATGAAAACGGATCGAGCCACACTGGAGTTTGGTGTGCCAAGCGGGAAGGGGGCCTGTGAAGTGTGAAGTGGTCGCTCGCAAAAGAGCCTGGGAGCTATCCGTAGCTTTTCGTCGGGCCTGAATGCCCACATTGAATGCTGTTCTTGTGAGAGTTTGTATCTTATATAACCGAGCTTCGGTTTATTTCGGTTTGCTATGCCCTATTGCCCCTGATGTCTATGGATTGAGGACTCACGTCCACCAGTGTGGATTTAAGGCAATTAACGCAATGGCATCACCTGCTGACAGCAGGAAGGACAATCTAAAGTTGGACACGCATCCGATATCCTTGCATTCTCAGTTTGGTCTTGCCCTTTTGAAGTGGAGATTTCCCTGGAGTGTTTCACGCCAAACACCTTGAGCCTAAGGTTGCTCTGGGTTCGTAACCCATGGCCATTTGTTTAGGGATAACATTCACACAGCTTGGCTGTGCTTCTGTGCTTTCAGGTCCTGTAAGTAACATCATGACCAGGCACCGGCAGGACTATGCAGTCTGAAATCCACCTCTGTACCTGCTGTTTGTTCATCCGCATGGAAACCACTTCGGATGGCACGGACGAACCAGGAAAATGGATCCACTGGAGCACGGTGTCCCACCTTCCACTGAGGAACCCAAGCCGGAGCCTGTGGGCTTTTTCTCAGCTACTCGGAGCAGAGTGGAAGGGTGTGGATGGACAACAACTTGATGCAGTCACTTATACACTCGAGGAGGGAAGGTCACGGACCAACAAGTGGTGTCTGAAGGCAAGGTCATGACAGTCGAAACACACAGACAACTGATCAAGGACCCTTCTCTACAAATCCCCTTTGTCCACTTTTACATGGAGACAGTATGGGACAGTATGGGATGCAGTAGGATATAGGAGGACGATATATAGATACTATATACAGTTGGTTGGAATAGATGGCAGGATCGACCATGGAGGTGCTCCGACTGAGCTCCTGCTCATCAAACCCTTCACCCTCCGACCACCCGACCCCACCACCCGACCGCCATTGGTTCCTTCCCAGGAATATGCCCATCTCACTCGAAGCGAGTACATCAAGCTGAAGACCCAGCGCCGCAGTGCAGCACTGGCCATCCAGACACGAGTGAAGGCTCCGATTTTCTTCGGGTGGACGCTTGGAATGTCCGTTTTTTCTTGCCTGTTTTTGAGACCTTTTTGGGACAGGTTTCAGATGGTTTCAGTTTCGGTAGTTATTTCGATCTCAATTTCCCTGGCACAACACCATTTGAGTGTTCCAAAGCTGCCACTAAAGCTGTCACTGCCGTCCCGGTGGACACGAAAAAAGAGCCATGAGTGAAAGAGTTGTTGGATCAGACCCCAAGGTTCAGAGAATCCGGCTGCATGGTGAACAAACTGTAAACAACAACCTGAACGGACCATAACTACAGGCAAAGTCGGGATGGTCAAATCCTGCCAAGTTCCAGTCTGACCAAAGTCGTCTCGCCTGGTGAGTCTTTCCTTTTGCTATGCCCCCTTTTTGTTCACCAGAGATCCGCTACGCAATGCTACGCATGTGAGAGCACGCTTCACTGCAGATCTTCCTGCTTCGACGCTCCCTCCTAGTGGCCTGGCGCGTGCCTGCAGCTCGCTGCTTGGTTCGATTGTGGAAGGGGTTGATCATGTTCCAAGATACCTGGACTGGATGGGGGTGTTGAGAAGGAAGCGGCAAACGGGAACTCAGTTTCTTGAGTAAAGAAACCTGATTGTAGGCAGTGCAATAAACGTTCGGCACCGTATTTGCATGTATTCCCAGACCATTCATGCATGGAATATTGCCCATTTTGACACTTAAAACATCTTAGAATCATTCCAATGCAGGTTAATCTTCCATACTTTAAATGGATTGTTGGGGATTTGCTCATATATGAACATGCCCAAGCTAGGGCCCCAGGTTTCGCCAAAGCGTCCTTTGCCTAGGTCGCATTCAGGGCTGTTGCTACACATTCTTGGCAAAGGCGCGAAGTGCCTCTCCGCGTGTGACTGCCCCGTGCCTTCCGTGTTTCTTGGCCCCTCACAGTTGGCCAAGTGGAGCACAATGCTGACCACATGTCATACTACCCCAGATCATCCATGTATGACATATAGTTATACATTATTCACAACTTTTGCAGCATTTTATGACCCTAATGATGTACTGTAGGTATACCTACAGACTATTCCACACATACTTGGTTTAGCTTTAGCTTTACCAACGGGGCGCGGATCTCGGTGGATGACGGACTCCAGGACGGTCGCGGATGCTGACGGTCGCAGGTGAAGATGCTGGACAAGGAGAAGAACGCCAAGCTGCGCTTCGTGCTCGCCCTCACGCATTTTCAAGCGCCGCGGCGGCCAGCAACGGCAAGTAAACGACTCAGACTGTAGTATGGCGTGGTGGGAAACCAGGAGAAAGCCGGATTGACTTGCATGAAAAGGCTGTTAGATGGACTTTCGATCGAGATTTGTCATAAATTGTATTTGGGAGCAGAGGCGTTCATTATCCTGGATTTCCTGATGTGATAGCCGCTGGGACTTTGGGGCTGGCCAATTCTGCAACTGCATAGCCAACTGATTCCTTCGCAGATCGAAATTTAGGTTCTGCCAAGACTATGGCCATACTAAGATCCCTTCATGCTGATGCTTTTTGCATCGGCAAGGCTTCCAACTGCCGAAACATTCTCCAAAGCACCTAGAACCTCAGAATATGTCACGAACAGAACCTAGAACTATCCAAAGAACCTCAGAAACAACAGTTCCTAGAACTAAACCTCAGATTCTCATCAGGTTCCTTTGCCTCCCACGTCACCGTTGGCTCCGAGGCAAAAGTGCGCCGGTTCATCAAACGGCCGCTGGGCGTTGGGAAAAACGGCGGTTGGAGTTCTGGACAGGTGAGAGGCGGAGGCGGTGCCAGATTCATCAAGACTCAAAAAGCCCAGCAAGAGACTCTGTTCACACTCAAATTGATCGTTCTTTTTTGTGAACTGGAGCCGTGTCCGGAATCTTCGTAGAATGAACACATGGGCTGTGGTTTTCCCAGCAGCTAGATGCAGCCAGAAGCTCAATTCATGCCAGGCACGGCATATTTCCAACAATGTCGCACTATTCACTATTGACTCGCATCATCCTTGGTTCACGTCAGACATAACCAGGAGCGAACAAGCAAGCCAGATAGACCTTCACTGACGGCTTCGCGCACCGAAGCAAAACTTGGCGCCTTTTTTCACCCAGGAAGCAAGAAGAGCGGCAACGCTTGGCCGATGAGGCTTTGGGATAGAAATGCCCAGCTGTTCAGCTGTCACGTGGATTTGTGAGCTCACCCAGTTGGAAGATCTACTGAATGAAATGTGTTCTTTCTACTAGGTGTGGAAATCCAGGTCTTTGGGGGTCTCCTGTCTTGAACCTTTTTGCACTGACAGATGGCAACTTGCCACCTTGGAGTGGACTGATGCTGGCACTGAATGTGCCATAATTTGCCACATCAGGCCATCTAAAAGCGCCCTAGGGAGTTCAATTAGATTTAAAGCGGATTTGATTCAATATCCATGGAGCTGCTAGCCTTTTTTTGCGGTTTGACATTGCCTCGATTTAATTCAACAGGACCAAACCATAAGAACAGAGGCTGTTGGGATGTCCTCGAAAGGGTTCCAAATGATCCCAAATGCCTTTTTCGATGCGCAGGGGTTCCCATGAGTGGCGCCACCAAACCACTGGTATTGAATGGGTATTGGTTGCAATTGTCGAACAATTGTTTTCTGTTGCTCGCGAGTTGTCTCCCTGAGAGCCTGAGAGCATGCCAAAATCCAAAAACATGATGTATTTGTTGCTCTTTTTTGTTCAACGTCTTATCTTGGCATCACAATTTCGAACCAAAAAAGGGTTGTCACGGATCGTGTCACGGATCGTGTCACGGATTGGAAGTCAGCTTTCCGTCGGAATCCGTCGGCTGCCTTGCCATCCGAAGCGGTCGAACGGAAGCTGCAGGAGGCGCGCAGGTGGCAGGAGAAGCTCCGGCGTGTGCAGATCGAAGGCGCTTGCAAGGCCAGTTGGGTGGGCGGTTGGTGGTCCAATCAACTAACCCCACTGATTAACCCAACCAAAAACTATCACAAACTAGCTAACCCAAGCAATTCCCCCAATGCAGTCACCAGTCCAACCCAATCAACCCAACTCAACCAGAGTAACTGAAACAAGCCAAGCACACCCAGGAGCCGCATATGAAGCACCAGAATGGCTCTTTACTTTAGACCTCTTTAGGCTGAGCTTCAGGGGAATGCTTGGTGACTGACCATGGATCAAGGGCAGCTGAGCAGCTGCAACTATAAACCTTGTACCAGCATCCAATGGGTAGTCAGTTGGACTACCCATTGGATACTCCTGGAAAAAAGGATCTTAGTCGCAGTCAATTCTTCACTTCCTTCGCCACGCTCCCTTCGCAGAGCACATGAACCTCCTTCGTCAGCCCTCAGGTGCAAGCCAAGTGCCGCAGTTTCCTGGCCATGGACCGCATGCAGTTCGACGGGACCCCGCCGCGGGGTTTGGGCCGTTTGGGCCGTTGTGGCCGTTGACTCAGAGGTTCGAAGCGAAGGATGAGAGGCATTGAGGGGCCACTCAAAGCGGTGACATAGGGTGACCAATTGGAACCGGTTCGTTCTTTGGAGCCCCACGAACTCCCTAATTAGATGTCCCTCCTCCTCAGGGAATGGCCTCATGTAAGTTAGAAACATGATCAACCCCCCGGCATTGGTTTTTTGCGGGAATCTATCTGATCACCTCGCGCCAGTGCCAGTGGTTTTCCTCCTCCTCGCCTCCTCCTGGGTCGCGGTAGCGGCCGCGGTAGCAGTCGCGCGGGGGATACTCCAGGAGGCAAGGGCGCGTGGCCACGCAGATCCAGAGAGCATGCCGAGTTCACCTCAGTCGTTTGGAGGTGCAAACGACCTGCCACCGACCCGAAGCGACCCGTCTTGACTTCTTCCGGGCGCGGAGAGGAGAGAGGAGAGAGGCCAGGGGACCTTCAGGAGGGAAAATGGAGAGGAGAGGAGCTGAAGATGGATCGGTATGAGTATCAGTACCCAGACACTCCATGGGACTGCCATATATATCCATATATTATATGCCTACATTGACCCCCTAGCAAACCCCAATGTAGGCATATATGGCATACATGGAGTGTTTGGAGTATGCTGGTTGATACTGTTTGTGTGTTGGGAGCTGGCCCAAGTCAATGTGTGTGGCCCCCCTAGACGTGTTTTTTTTGGGTAAGGAATTGCTTGAGGATTGGAATGGTCCAGCAAGAGGTGGCCAATTTCGATTGTTCTATCACTGCTTTATATTATACCTAGATCTTCCGTAGGCCGTAATTTCAGTCTTTTTGTGTTCAGGCAACTTTTCTGCCCGAGGGCGTTTCTTCTGGATGTTTCTTGAAAACTCGCCCGAGTGCATTTTGGGAAGTTTTGGCGTAACCCATCTTAAACTCTCTTAACTAGCTCCCCGGCAATTCTCGCCCGAGTCCCGGGTGTTCCCGCCCGAGTCCCGGGTATTCCCGCCCGAGTGTAAATCATAAAAATCCTATATATTTATATCATCACAAAAACTCTCTCCTGGGAAACAATTTTAGCCCGCAGGCTGATTTTCAGCCCGAAGAGCTAAAAGGCTGATTTTTGAGCTCAGGCCGTAATTTCAGCCTGTACGAAGATCTAGGTATATATTATATAGATCCCGCCCGAGTCAAAGAAACTGTCGACAGCGAATCCGCTTCCTACACATGATCCGCCCACACCGAGTGTTGCGTCTTTGGGACTGGGGAGGGATCCCCTATCGAGCCATCGAGCGATCGCATCGGACCCTTCGAAGTGCGATGCACCGACCTCTGAGCACTTCTCCCTGCGGTCTCGCGACGTCTGGCAGGTGCTGCATCAGAACGAGGTCGCCAAAGAGCAGGCGATGGGCCGGCCGTGGTGCAGAAGGAACAGAGCATGTTTTGTTCAGAGATGAAGGTGGAGATTGTAAATAAAGAAAGGATGACACTCACAAGTGCTTGGTGGGGAGTCTTAAAATGTAGCGTATGTCTTGGATTTGTCCTATTACCTGTAACATTCTGTAACAGTCAGTAAACAAATATCACTACTTTCGAAAAAGGGCCTTTACTAACCATCATCATCCACTGCTACTGTAATAGGATAGACCCAATGTATTTCCCAGAATGAAACCATCATCCCAGTTGTGCCAGGAGCGGATGAGGCTGCGAGCGGTGATGCGCTTGCAGACCCTGTTGTGCCTGGGCATCACTTGTGAGGGCATGCTGGGCCGCGTGGGATGTACCAATCCCTGCAATGCTCACCTACTGTAGCTTTTAAGAACTAACTTATACGAATACAATACTATTGTACATTATAGTCAGTACATGTCAGTACTATAGTCAGTACAATACTATAGTACATTATAGTGAGTACTATAGTTTGATAAATAACCGTTCCTGAAAGATCACCCTTACCCAATGGATATCTATAAAATACATTGTGGTGACATAGCGACGACATACGACCAAAACGACCACAACCAGCCTCTAAACCCATCGGCCCATGATGGTTCATGGGTCGTTGTTTGTGCAGGAGGTTGCCTTCAATAAGATCTCAGATCTATATGGGCACCCAATGTGTGGCACGCACTATACTTACTAAGGAACGTATCCCGGTTGTGATGTAAAAAAGCGGGCGTTTGGAACAAAACAGAATTGTTTTGCACCAGGCGTGGTGGGCTTTTTGGTAAACTTATATAGATGATGAGCCTGAAGTTTTGATAGGACGGGGTTTGGCTCCTGGGCCGGTGGTACTCCAAAAGAAAGCTCAAGCAGGCTCTACAGGTCTATAGGTGCAGGAAGTAAGAGTTTGGCCCACGAGTTGAGCCTTTTAGGATGTCAACAATCAAGATAGCAACAGACTATCCGCAAGAACCATTCCTGGTGCTTGCTCCATGCTCGGGCCAGGAAGGCCTACAGCGGAAAGCAGCGCCAGTATGGCAGACCTTGTCAGCTGGTTCCCATGAACTGTCGGAGCAGAGCCTTCAATGAGAGATGTCTCAAGGGACCAAGAGCTTGGCGACTGCGGCAGATTCTGGTTGGGGTGGTGCTCACTGTACCATCATGGTGGTACATGCCAGGCACCTGGTACAATGAGAGGCCAGAGGAAGACCACTGGCACTAGGCGCTCCCCAGGTTTTGTGGCCTTTTGTAGCTTTGTATGGCACCCACAGCACCAACTTCAAGCTCCAAGAGGCTACAACGCTTCGTTGCAGGAAAACATCGGAAACTGCTTAAGATCCGGCACGTGACCGTTGGTAGACTTGCCCATTTTGGGAGGCCGCCCCTTTTTGTTGTTTGCCAAGTCTTACTGCCGATAAGACTGCTTCAGCGCCAAGGCCAGGGAATGATGCCAGCCGTCTGACGCCAGGAGCGACCAGCACGCTTTCCTCGGTCCAAGAAATGGGGACGAGCAGAGCCAGAGCAACCTTCGGCAAGGACTTGGCTGAAGGAGCGAGTCACAAAACTTCACCATTTGCACGACCCAAGAATCATCATGTTTGTTTGCATTCCGGATTAATTATAGGCTACTCGCTGGACCAATGGCTTAAGAAGTGCAACAAAATAATGTGGGCCTCTTATTAATAAACCCCCCCGCCCCCCCCCCTTGATCAAGTGTGGGCCCCAAATGATGTGATTTCCAGAAAAAATCCTAGAAAATCTTGATTTGAATAGGAAAGGAAAGGCAAGGAAAGGAAAGGACAATGAAAGGAAAGGAAAGGAAAGGAAAGGAAAGGACAATGAAAGGAAAGGAAAGGAAAGGACAATGAAAGGAAAGGAAAGGACAATGAAAGGAAAGCTCAGAATCAGCTTGGATGAATCAAGGTCTGGAAGCAGCTGAAAATCAAGGTCCAGAAAACATTTAGTACTATTTGAGGGCCATTTACAATTGATTTTTGAAAAGATTTAGTACTATTCACGGGCCATTTACTATTAGGAAGTCAACATTAGTGCATCCCAGATTGTGTCAGTCCCTTCCCCAGCGTCACCCGCTGTGTCGCCCAGGAAAGGGATGCAAGCGCGTCAGCATTTGCACCACCTCCGTGTCCAAAATGACGAGGCGCCTGTGATCCCCTAAGAGTTTCCAAGTGGACTGTTGCACACCAATAGTTCAACATATACTCCAGGAGTCACAAAGGGGTGGTGTTTAGTCCTTAAGTGAGTGGATAATGGGCACCCCTAACCTCCATTAAGCACCCCTTTGTGACTGCTGGCATATGCTCATCATATCACTATAGTATACAGCATGGCTGGTTTAATTGAATCTACTTGGAATGTACTTTTGTTGCTCCACTTTCCTTAGGACCACGTGCGGAGTTGGACATGTTCCACGTTCGCTGCTGGAAATCAACGGAATCCACCGCTGGACCCTGGAAATCGCCTGAAAGCTACGAGGGATCTGAGGAGAATCCCCCCGGGTGCAGAGCGCAGGGCAATTTCCCGTCGACGATTTGAACATGTGTTTGGTGTGGCAATTTGTTTGGGAATCCGCGATATAACTAGATCGTTGTTTGGTGTGGCTGTGGATGGCTACCCCCTTGTGGAAATTATTCCAGGGTGGGGGTATGTGAGCTAAATAATTTTTGCAGAATAATTTGGAATTTGGAGGATACATCGAGGTGGGGGTTCCAGGGACCTCCAAAATAATAAACAGCTATCACTCAGAGGACTTGAAATAATTAGGATACGTTGATGACCATTGGAACTTCCATGCACTTGAAATAATTAGGATACACTGGTGACCATTGTAACTTCCATGCACTCAAAATAATTTCACCTAGTGGCTGAAATTTGGATATTAAAAGGTCGTAAAATGCCCACCTTCTTCAGCTAGTGAAAATCACCATGTGGATATCTTCACCTAGTGAAAAAAACAGAGTAAAAATTATTTGGGGGGTGGGGGTGGTTGGCTGGGGACCCCCAAAAAAAAAGCGCATGCTTTATCCCTCAAGAAAAGAAAGGAACTGAAGGAATTTGACCAGTAAGCTATCCAAAAACATTGAAATTTCACATTTATTCAAAAATCCTAAATTTTAAGAAATGGTCTCAAAACTCTTGAAACCTCAAGGGAAGACAGGAACTCAAGGAATTAGACCAGTAAGCTATCCAAAAACATTGAATTTTCACAGAATTTGTTCAAACAAAATATGTTAAGACAATGTAAACACAGGAAAGAATTGAAAGGACCTTTATTTTGGGGGTCCCCAGCCAACCACCCCCACCCCCCAAATAATTATTAGGAACCCTCCCCCACCCCTGAAATAATTTTGAAGTATCCCTACTGTCCCTGACCAGTGCTTCAATGGATTCTTCTCCTGCGAGACCGGTGAAAAAGGTAGTGTCCACATGGGCCTCACAGGCAGCCCGGGACGTGGGAGAAAAGAGCTGGGGATGGTATACCTTGCATCTCCAATGACCATGTTAAATTTGCCTTTCCAAGACAAATGTTTGTGAAAGAACGCACTCTTTTTTTTTGCATATGTTACGAAATGTTCCGTGTCGAAAAGGGGGGGGTTTGGCCTCCACAACCAACCAAAACACCCCAAAGGGGGGGGGGGGTTGCACCCTTCATTTGATTGCGAATTTCCGCCCCCCAAGACCCCGGCTTGGCTTGCGCCATCATCGGTTTTGAACTAACCTCCGGTATGAAGACTATCCAAATGGGGAACTTCCACCTGCACTCGTCATGTGGAGACGTGAGTCAGTGCGCCAGTGCGTGCATCCAAATGGGGAGTGTTATTGAAGTCCAGATGTGGTAACTACTCAATATAAAAGTTATGAAAATCACTATTTTCAGATAGTTTCCTGGTCTAATTCCTTGAGTTCCTGTAGTTCCTGTCTTCCCTTGAGGTTTCAAGAGTTTTGAAGGACATTGGTGGAAAGCAATGATTTTCATAGAATTTGTTCAAACAAAATATGTTAAGACAATGTAAACACAGGAAAGAATTGAAAGGACCTTTATTTTGGGGGTCCCCAGCCAACCACCCCCACCCCTGAAATAATTTTGAAGTATCCCTACTGTCCCTGACCAGTGCTTCAATGGATTCTTCTCCTGCGAGACCGGTGAAAAAGGTAGTGTCCACATGGGCCTCACAGCGGGGTCAGAAAAAGTTATGAAAATGCGAATGGAAGTGCAGCGACATGTACAGTGCAACATGTACATATATATGTATCATATGTACTTTGGCTCAAGGATCAAGCGACTAGAAAAGGTGCGGTTTCCGTTCCGACGCTACGCCGCTTATGGACCGTCAGTGATAGCTTCAAACTACGCTGATTAAGATCCACTCGCAGGTTATCAGCCGTACGCGCTCTTTATAGCCGTACGAACTACACGAGACCAAGAACAAGACTAGTCATTACAGAAACCTGCAATGTCAAGCTCAGGAGGAAATGGAAGCGAACCCTATTCATTCGCTGCTCCTGGTGGTCCCAACACCATTTCGTCGCCAGACTCTACAATGGATACTGATTCATCAGCAAATGCTGACGTTATCACTATGCCTACTGGATCACAAATATCGGAAAGATCCGTGCCACCGGCTCGGAATCTGACCGATCTTGCACCCGTAGGACCAAGAAGATCGATGAGAGCTACAACAAGATCTACATCGCCTATAACGTCTACCGCGAGATCCCCAAGAAGGAGTATAGAGAAGAGACGTGACGATGATAGAGGAACAAAAGAGCAAAGAAGAGAGATTCAGCTGGGTGAAGAATTGAGATCGGCGAGGAACGCATACAACTTTCTTCATCAAGAATATGAATGCATCCAAGCCGGATACTCACGACTACACCACGAGGCTGAAGTGGAGTTCAGGCAAATGTCTGACTACAACAGGAAGATGCAGGAACATCTACAGGAGATGACACAGGAGGATGAAGGAGCGACAATAAGAATTGAAGAGCTCGAACACAAACTACGCTTGGCGGAATCGACAGCTGAACATATCTACATGAGATATCAAGAGCTTGCACAAGAAACTCATCAAGAACATTCAGAGCTTGAATCTGTAAAAGCAACGAAGGACAGAATGTCCCAAGAGCTTCAAGCAGCAATTGGACACATCCAAGAACAGAATGAATCTTCATTGGCAATCAATAGAAGATCAAAAGCCATTCAGGATGAGAACACAGCCTTCGTTGGAATAGCTGACCAGATACAAGCTAGAATGATTGCGCTACAGGATGAGAATGTCAACATGCACGAGGTGATCCAACACCAGAGAGAAGAACAATGGAACAGTGAGGTCAGGGAAAGACGTCTTCAACACAGTGTTCACTCATCTCAAGATCAGAGCAATCAGGAAGCTATGGTTATTGATCATCTACGAGGTCAACTAGCTATGGCACGTGGAGCTGAACTCAACGCGAAAGCGGAGATGGGAGAGATGGAAGTGGGCATGAGGATGGAGATGTTTATATGCCAGACTGAAGTCTCTGCTAAAGAAATGGCAGATGCGAAGGCGAGCCACCATGAATACGAAGCAAACGTCGCAAAGGAGGTTATCGCAAAAGGAGAAATATTCAACAACGAAGTCCTAGAAAGTTCCATCCGTGAACGACAACAATTGAAAGACGTCAACCTCGCTCTATCCGAAGCCAACGCACAGCTGAAAAGAGAGAATATGATGAGAGCTCCTATGTTCGGCGATGATGGTGCAGAAATTCAACAGAAGATCAGAGAACTGGAGGATGCACTATTGGAAAGCCAGAAGGAGACAAAGAATGTCATTATGGAAAATGCGAAATTAAAAGCAGAAGCACGAATGGCACCCATAGTCTCTCGGTACAGCAAGCGTCCTAATTCCAGAGACCGCGGGTTACCAACCCACGCGTCCGAGGAAGATGAGGTTCGGAATGCAAAAGAGGAGGCGAAGCACTACAAGGACGGGTACAATGAAATGACAGAGAGCCGAGATGAGATGTATGAATGGTATGCCGAAACCCACAATGAGTACGCCGAGGAAAGGGAGAAATCAATTGAGCTATCCGAGGCGAACAAATCATTGAGGGACAAGATTTTAGAAACAGAGGCATCCTCTTCATCTCATCTTGCACCGGCAACCTCTACTGTCATGAAAGTATCGAGGAAGGAAGAATCAAAGATAAACGTTCCGTCAT